CAAATCCCCCCAAGGGTTTCCTCCACTCGACCTCGAGTCCCTTGAGAGAAAAGACTATGGCTATTTATCTTTTAATCATTTGGAGAACACCTGGTCGGTGCCATGAATATAGAGTTGGAAAGAGACCGGCAGGGTGGATGGGCGAACCCCGGGGACCTAGTGGGAGGGGCAGAGCTAGAGGTGGAGGCTTTTCTCCTCGCCGCCACTAGATGGCAGCAGGGCCACCCCGCGCTCAGCTTCCCAACTGCCTTTGCCTTTGCCTTTACCTCCGGGGAAGCCAAGACCAGGGATGGACTCAGTTCAATAAAATAAACATTCAAAGAGCTTGCTGACCCAGCTCTCCGCTAGGCGTGCTGTCAGAAAGGCGAGAGGGAGAAGAAGGATCCAAAAGTTAGACAAGTCCCCAGCCGTGAAGCACGAACTCTTGAAACCAGACAGCCTGGGTTCGAATTTCGTGCCTGGCGTCTCCAAGCTGTGTGACTTTGGTGGTTACTTAACCTCTCTGTGCCTCCGTCTCCTCTTGCGGAAAGTGGGCTTTATAGAAGTGTCTATCAAAAAGGGCTGCTGGGAGGGGCAGTGTCCCGGAGTGCAGGGGGTTGTTGCTTTTGTATGCTTTTGTATGCCTGCTTCTGAAGAAGCTCGCCTGGCAGAAATGGGGAGCTCTCAGCCCAGAGCGGGAGAGATAAGATAGCACAGAACCTTGGTGGGGGCGGGGTGGAGAAAGGCACACCTGTTAGGAAGGGGGTGGAGTTGGGGAAGGCTTCATGGAGGGGGAGATGTTTTTTTGAGATGGGCGGGGAGGGGAGGGACGGTGGGCCGGGGCTGGAGGGGTGGGGCTGTGGGGGTGGGGCAAGGCTGAATCCGGGGACGGGTGGAAGGTGGGGCTTCTGCGGCCGCTGCGGAGGGGAGAGGAGAGGGAGGAAGGCTGGTGTCCCCAGGACACACCTGTTACTGGGATGTTGGGATCCTTGTGTCCCTGCCAGCCCTCTTCCAATAAAGCCCCTCTAGGCCTCCAGGGAGAGGAGGAGCCTTGCCATGTAAACTGTATTTTTAGTTCCCTGTGCCTCCGGCTGCTATAAGACACCTCTCCCCACCCCCAGCCCCACGGCTTGGCTGGAGGCTCCAGGAGGACAGCTGGGGAGAAAGGGAGACGTGGTCAGTACCATGGCTGCCAGGGGGCTGGGAGGAGTGGGGTCTGGGGCAAGCTCGGGGGTCCCGCTACCCCATCGAGTCCGCTCTGAGTCTGGCCTGGCGCTGGACCAGGAGGGCAGATGGCCAGGAAAGAGCAAGCTAAGCTGGGCGGGAGGGAGGCACTGCCCAGGCTGGCCTCCAAGTGGGCGGCTCCCAGGAGGAGGAGGAGAGAGGGAGGTGGTCAAGATGGATGGGACCCTTGGCTCTGAAGGGCCAAAGTCACCTTCTCCGTCGCTGGAGTCTTAAAGTCTAATCCTCCAGATACGCTGCTGGGAATTGTTGGCTGCCCAGCGGCCAGCAAACTCTCAGGTTCTTGGGGGAAGAGCAGCGTGTGGCACAGTCACCTGGGGAGTCAAACCTGTGTGTGTTGGGGGGAAGTGGAAGAGGGGGGATGCTGGAAGCCCCTTCCTAGAGAGTTCTTTTATGTGCTCAAGGAGAGGCGAGAATTGCTGTCTTGAAAATAGCAAAACTGGGCTTTTTTCACCAGGCAGCCTCCTTGTTTACCTTGCCAGGGGAGGGAGCTCATTTCAAGTCCTGGGTACAGTTAGTAAGGACCAGTCGTTGAACCTACAGCTTGCCTGGTGAGAGAGACTCTGCTGGTTCTCTGTATCCCCAAAGAGCCAGCAGAGCACAGACAAGGGAGTGAGCATGACAAGAAGGCATGTTTTTGGTTCCATATAAAGGAAACACTTTAAAGCTTTAGGTAGTGAGCTCGCTGCTCCTAGGAGAATTCAAGTAGATGCTGGATGATGACCTGTAGGGAAAATTCCTGCATGTAGTGGGAACTTAGACAATATGCCATCAAAGTCCTCTGTTAGTTTGAAGACACGATGACCCTATCCTTCTACAGTTCTCTACCTCGGCCTTTCTATGACTCTGGAGTCTAGAGCCCCCTTTCCAGAATGGCCAAAGTCGAAGACTTTGGCGCCCAGAATTTTAACTCTGGGATCTTAAGACTCTAAAATTTGAAGGCTTGAGAATGATCTTATACATCTGCGATGGTTGCATTCAAAGGACCCTGTGACATGATCTCCTGAGAAGAGAAAGAGGTTGGGGTATATCTGACTTTGAGGGGCATGCAGTTTTGTCCCCCAGGGTGTCAAAACCAACCCACCTCTGTGCATGTGCATGTGCGACACGTGAGTCTAAGGCTGCTGGAGGTTTTCCTCTTTCGTGCTTCTCCAGCTTCCTTGCCCCAACCATTTGAAGACTGTTGCGGGATAATTATAGCCCCCAAACAAAGCTGGCGACTCTAGGTAGCCATGGCAACTGTTAGGTAATGCCTGTTCTGTTGTAGAGATGTGTAAGTGCAAACAGATGTCAGCGCCTTCCTATTAGCTTAAATGGTAAAACTTAAAAGGTCCATCGACTTCAAAGCCACAGGTCTCCATGAGCCCCAGTTAATGGGGATGCCTGCCAAGAGGTGACAGCTAAGTATTAAACACTTTAGCATTGGTAATGATTTGATGAGCTTTTAAATGCTCAGGCTGTCCCCAGACAGCTCGGAGGCTGGAGATGGCAGAGCTTCAGCTAACCAGCCCTGCGTGGCTGGAGCGCATCCTTGCCAGGACCCTGTTCCCTCACCACTGGATGTGGTACCACGCCGCCCTGCCCTCCCCTGTCCCATCCTGCCCTGCCGCCGTGTAGGGCTCAGCCTCCATTGAGTGACCGGGATAAGGCACTGCACCTGCTAAGGGTCTGAGCCCTTGACAGACCCTCTCAGAGCTGCCTTCCTCTTGTTCCTGGGCCTGGCCTGGAGTAAGCCCTTAGTACGGGCTGCTGAACGGATAGACAAAGGATAGCCCCCTCCTTCACCCCCTCCCCATCCCTGTGGCATCTTTAGATACTCATTCTGCTATGACATCCTCCCCTGGGAACGGTGGATGGGCTCAGCATCCCTGGGTTGCCACAAACCTGGAGCACAGTGTCAGGGAGGGGCGCCTCTGGTTAGGAACGAGCTGATTTGATAAAGAAATAGAGCTCACCGAAATGATGCACGAGGGGTGCATTATGGTCACCCCAAATGGTAACTGGGCTAGGCTTGACAGAGAAAGGAGTGAACTCTAGGACCCTACACTAAAGAGCTCTCAGTTTGGGGTTCTTACTCTGTGCTGGCCATGAAACGGACTCTCTTCGATGCCACATTTTCTACGAACTCAACAATTCTTGCCACATGCCTTTGCTCATGTTTTGCCGAGGGCATCTGATTGGTGTAGCTAGTAGACACTGGCTGTTGGACGGAGCCCTGCCATTGGCTGCCGCGGGTTACGTGCCAGCCCTGGTCCAGTCACCCGTGACCAGGGGTAGCGTGGGGAAAGAACATGACCTACATGGTCACGGAGGGGCTGGGGCTGGGCCTTTGCCTTTAGCAAGAGCTGTGTATGTGGGGTAGTCCTAACTGACGTGTCTAATACAGACCCAGGACACCCAGGACACTTGCTTATGCTTTCTGAACCTCATTGTTTGCAGCTGTAAAATGGGATGATACTCATTACCTTGCAGAGCTATTGTGAAAATTAGATCTAATCCTGCCCAAGGAGGCACTTGGTAACCTGTAAAATCCTGTGTAGATGGAAGGAAGGGCCTGCGTACCTTGATAATAGCAATCCATTAACTGTACTGTAAGCTTATTCCTTTTATCTCTCTAAGGTACTGTGAGTTTCTTGAACACAAGGATGTGTTCGTTGAGTTTTGTTGTCTTTGGCGTGTAGCGGTTTCCAACAGTAGGTACTGTGTAACTCTGTGTTGGATGGATGAATGGATGGATGGACAGGTGACAAATGGGGGAATGGATGTGGATGGATGGGTGGATGGATAAATGGATGATGGGAAGATGGATGGATGGATGGATGGATGATGGCTAAATATAGAAAAGGCCAATCATCTTCACTTGCCTTTTGTACAACGGCCATCTATCTTTTTATTCAACAAACATTTATTCAGTTCCAATTTGGCACAGGGCCTTGTGTGAACTCCAAGAGATACATAAGTGAATAAAATAGAGCCCCTGCTCCTCTGAAAATCAAAATAAGGTATTTGGGAGCCTGGACTCAAGAACCTGACTTTCTGGGTTCAAATCCCAGCTCTCTACCATCAACTATGTGACCATAGCAAGTTTCCCAAACTTCCCCTTGATTAAATGAGGATAATGTCGTATCTATCATAGAGATAGGGCTGTTGGGGGATTAAACAAATACCAGATGTAAAGTGCCCAGAGTGCGTATCAGCTGCTGTTACACAGTCATGGCAGAACCAGCATGGAAACTACGAAATATGGCACAATGAAAGAAGGAGCATAACAGGAGAACCTACAAGTAAATGGAAGGAGGAAGAAATTAATTGTGCCTCAAGGCGGGAGGTGGGAGGTCAAGCAAAGTTTCTCAGAAGGAAATATTTGAGCAAGGTCAAGAAGGCCACGAAGCCAGAAGTTTTCTGGGTGGGGTGGGAAAATTCAGACTCCAAGAGCCTATGGATTCATCCAGCTATGGGCAAGAACCACCTCAGCTCCCTCCCCCTGCTGCCGGTTGGGCGAGGGACCCTCTGGCAAAGTGGTCTGGTTGTGAACAAGGAGACTGCTAAGGGCCATGACAGCCCCAGGGCCGGCCATGGTGCTGCTGCGCGAGCTTGGAAACATGACAGTTCCTCCTGGGATGGTTGACAACAGGGAGAGTTGAGTTTCAGGCTGATGGTGTTGGCCTTTGTGGTGCCCTTTCTGTTGGCCTTTGAGACTGCAGACAGTGGGCCAGCCTTCTCCCTGCTCTTGCCACATACAAAAACACCCCCACGCCCCTGTGGCCTGAGTTGTCCTACCTCCCCACAATGGCACCTGCCCCAAAATAGCTTCCATGTGAGAGCTAAAGAAAGGGAAAGATTAGACCCTGCATGCAAAGGAGGGAGGAGGAGGAGGAGGAGGAGAGAGAGTGAGCAAGCTGTCAAGTGATCGGTGTCAAGCTTCAGTGAAAGTATAAAATCCCCTTGGGGCCAGGCGATCTCAAACCCCAGCTGTCAGAGCCAGGACACCGAATCAGCCGGACTTGCTCTTTTTGTCTTCTTCAGACTGCACCATGGGGCTCAGCGACGGGGAATGGCAGTTGGTGCTGAACGTCTGGGGGAAGGTAGAGGCTGACCTCGCGGGCCATGGGCAGGAGGTCCTCATCAGGTAAAAGGAAGAGATTCATTGCCTCTGTCACTCACTCCCCAAAGATCAAGGGTGTGCTTGTAAGGTGGAACGGTTGCCTGGGGTTGACCAGTTGGCTGCGTCAGTTGCCTGGGGTTGACCAGTTAGCTGCATAAAACCCCCACTTGGTTCTCTTTTGCTTGTGTCAGGGGCTTGAGTCCAGAAAGGAAGAGAGGAAAAGAGATCCCGCCCATGCCTGTGTCAGCAGCAGAAGTCTGGTGCTCAAACGCTGGGTGCCTAGTGCGCACCAAGAGGACTCCTAGAATTGTAGACGGAATAAACGATCTCTTGGGCCCTGAGAGATCTTGTCCAGTCGCTTCACTTAATGGTTGAGGACAAAAAGGACCTGAGAAGGACAGGACCTCCCCTGAGTCACAAGTCCCTTAAGGTCTGTGAACTGTCAAGGCTAAGACATGGTCTTCAAGATGAGACCTGCAGTGCTAGAATGAGCTCAGCCACTGAGCAGCTGTATGACCTTCGGGAAGGTACACAACCTCTCTGAGTCCATTTCCTCTACTGTACAATGGGGGAAAATGCTGATATCTGCATTTTATAGCAGAAGTGAGAATTGAATAAGATAATGCTTGAAGGGGCCTGCTGCTGTTCCTGGAATATGGCAGCTTCGAGAGGATGTTAGTAATTGCTATGGACAGAGCCAGACTAAGGACCTTCACAGTATTATACTTAGAAAATAGAAGACAGGGGTCCATTTGTGACATTTGATGTTGAGAAAGTCTTGAACTGGAGAGCTCTGAAGGGGGTTGTCTCCAAGGGCATCTTCACTGCTATAGTAAAGGGTCCTGAATAAACAAACAAAATCCCAAGCCTTGTACATAAAGAATGGCCTGTGGGATTTTATTTTCCCATCGCCCTCAACCCCAGGTAGTGTTAGATCCCTCTTCTTCTGGTCCCATCTCTCGTGCTCTGGGCCAGCACGAGTCAAGTATCTATTTCTGCACCTGGGAGCAAGTGGGCCCAGAGCTGCCATGAGTGGATACGTTGTTGTTCACACTTTAATTTATAGATGAGTTTCTTCTACTTTGTGAGCCAGGATTTGCTCTTCCATTCAGATGCCTTTTCAGTCTCCCTTGGGCGTCACTCATTTCCAGCTCCCATGTCTGGGGAGAATGGCCAGTCCCGTAAGCTCTGTGATCTAAAGTCCAAGTCCTTAGTGGTCCACGCTAGAAACACCTGGGGAAGGATGGTCAAGTTCTTTGTTGACTCTGACTGGCATCATGGGGGTGTTTCCTGATGTCTTTCTCCTTCCATCCCTGACAGCAGGCTGCTGAGGCTGCCACAGGTCCTGTTTGGTAGGACAAAAGATCCTCCCAAGTTGACATCTGCTTCTCAGCCACGTTTGCTTGGACGTGACCTTGGACAAGTTACTCCTCCTCTCTGGGTCCCATTTGCCTATTGGTTGAGTGAAGCCATATCCTCGGGGGTCTCTGAGGTCCCTTTCTGCTCTCATGTCCAGGCATTCCCTGAGCCCATGCTCCTCCCCTGCTTGTGGAGAGAAGAGGCAGGGAAGTTGGGGTTGGGGACCAAGTTTGCCAAGCACGAGTCTCTCTGAGGTGATCTGGGAGCTGCCAGCCCCCAAGGCAGTGATTTGAAGGAGACTCGGGGTATTATGTCATCAGGGGAAACATTCCCTCCCTTCCCAGGGTGGAACAGGGAGACTGCCAGGGGCCAGGGACCAGGGATGAGACGTGATGCCCGAGACTCCAGCCCTTGGAAGGTCCCAGAAAGCCCAATGCCTTGTCACGTCTTAGGCTGTGGGACATGCAGAGACCATGCCAACTGCTTCTGCTCTTTTAGTGTTTGCGGACTGGGGAAGAGGTTCACCACCGCTCCCCCCCCCCCCGCCCCCGTGTGGAGGAGGGGGAGGAAATGCTAACTCCTGGGGCTGCACGTGCCTCTCTGGGAGCTGGCCTCTTGGTTCCGTTCCAGACGCTGAGCCTGGACTTCCTTACTGACCTTGGCAAGGTCATTTCTCCTATTCCCCTGATTAGAAGAGACAGCAAATTCTGTTCGGTTGAGGCTGCTAATGAAACACGAGGGGCTTCGCTCCAAGGACATGATCATAAAGGTCTAGAACATAAAAGCCAGAAGGTCGGTTGGAGAGCCTGGCTCCAGGAGTGGGGGGCCCAGGAGGGAGATGGCTGCTGAGTGTACCCCCTGCCTTTCCTTCTCTTGCCCAAACCCTTTCTGCTTTATTTATTTTTGATTTGGACAAGGAATTCTGAAGCCACGAGAAGTTTCAATCTCACTGCTGGTGGCCAATACTTGTCATGTTACAGGGAGGAAACATGGCCAGTGGTGGCTATAGATAGAACTCAATTCCCTGACCTGATGGCGGTGAGGATGATGATGGTGGTGTTGACAGTGGTGGCCATGGCGGTGATATGGGTGCCAGCAACAATGAGGAAGGGGGAGGATAGCACATTTTTACGCGGTATACACCGCCTGGCCCTGTGTTTAGTGCTTTGTGTATATTAACTCACTTAAGACTCACAAGTGCCTTATGAGATGGTTATGATCACCATCGTGAACAGAGAGGTTAAGGAACTTGCCCAGAGTCACACAGCTGGAATTCAAATCCAGGAAGCCTGGATCCTCACTTATCACAACCCTGTTCTGGAGCCCCATGCTACACACCAGCGAGGGGATTCCCTCCTCAGTCCCATTCTTCGGAGTGAAGCAGAGGAGTTCTGCAAGTCTGAGTCCTCAGTCTGCTGTGTGGGTGTCTGATAGGGCCTCAGGTCAGAGGACGGCTGGGAGGTGGCCTCCCTTCTCGCTGACTTGCCCGCAGGCCTGTGAAGGGCCAAGCAGGTGGACATAGGATGGAAGATGACAAGGCGAGTCAGACAAAGGCTTCTGCAACCGTAGAGAAAACCCATCCATCCTTCGCAGGGTGAGGCCTTCCTTTGTCCATTCGCAGGGACATGCCGTTAGGTAAATCCAGGTGTGGCCTTCTGTGCCTGCCTGGGGCTCCCAGGGACAGGACTGTGGGCTGAGGGAGGGAGGTGGCTGAATGGTGCCAGAATGATCTGGTGGGCACGGATCGGCCCAATTTTCCTGCACTGTTGGAAGTAACTCTGAGCTCTCTTGCCGCCTCACTGGTGGAGAGTGGAAGGTGAGGCAGGGGTCAAGCCTTAGAATTTGAAGGCTGAAGTATCAGCTAGACCAACCCTTTTGGTTTATAGATGGATGAATCAAGACCCAGAGAAGTTGAGTGACTTCTTCAATGTCACACAGCACGTTGGAGACAGAGCAGGGACCAGAACCCAGTTTCATAATTCTCAGTCCCATGTTCTTTCTCCTATACATCTGGGGGTCTCCCAGAATATCTGAGACCCTGGCTGCCCTGGGGACCTGGTCCTTGGTCCTCATCTGCCCCAGAGAGCTCCCTCCAGGGTCCCGACCTCCAACCTTTCCCTGTGGGGGCTAGGTCTCATGTCTGTCAGGCAGGGATCATTGTCACCAGATAATAAGAGGAGCTCAGGGACCCTTGGGTGAAAAGTGCCAGAGGTAAGCTGTCAGTGACACACACGGTTTGGCTGAGCAGGGGCCCTGGGGTAGTGAGGTGGTGATATTGGGCAGAGGGCATGGACAGCCCTGGGCATTCTGGAGAAGAAGGAGGGATTTGCTTCTGGGGGAAGGGTGCACTCCCTGTTGGTGCTACCCTGTGCACGCTTGTGTGTGTCTGGGTGTGCATGCACGTGAATATGGGTGTGTGCTGTGAGAAGCTTCCAGAAACTGGGGTGTGTCCGCAGCAGGGCTGGAGGCTGTGACTTAGCTAAGAAGCTACGAAAGGGAAACATTTCTGAACCCATTAGAGAAGAGGAGGGAAAGCCTGGACAGACAGGGTCATTCCTGCAAACATTTTGGGGTGTGACACGAGACAGAGAGCATGAGCTCTAGAACCAGCCAGTCTCTGCTGTGGGCTTTGCCACCAGCCAGCCACATGACCCTGGGCACATCACTTACCTCTGTGGTCCGTTTGCCCACAAGTGAAATGGGGAAAACCATTCCCACCTAGGTGGCAGCTAGGACTCCCTTTGACCAACACTCACCTTTCCACAGCAGGAAATACTAAGGTCCAAGTTTACAGGTGGCTGCTCAGGTTCAAGGGCAAATTCCCTCTGTGGCCAGATCACTGGCTCTCTGGCTGGAGCTGGGACCTGGTCTTTGGCAGGTGGCTCCCCCTGGGGCTTACCAACCCCCACTGTGAGGAGCCTGGGAGGGACAGGGAGTCTGAGCAAAATAAGCAAGAACTTTCTGAGCCTGAGAGTTAATCTGGAGTGGACCGGCCATCACAGGTGGTAGTGAGCCTCCTGTAGCTGGGAGTATGCAAGCAACTGAAGGATGACCCCATGCAGAGATGGTCCCCTGCATGATTTTTTTTCTTCCTTTCTTTTTCTTTTTCTTTCTTTCTTTTTTTTTTTTTTTTGAGTCACTCAGATCTGTTTCTAGCTGGCCCTTCCACACACCAGCCTTGTAACACTGAGTTACGCCTTCATACCTCTGAGCCTCTGGTCTTCCGGCCACCTCCTCTCCCTGATTCCAGTTAGTCACCTACTCTTCAAACAACTTGAGAAAGTTGGGGTGAAGCCAGGGACTAATGCAGACACGTCCTTCCTTCCTGCCTCTCCCAGTGGCAATGCAGAAGAGACGGGTCATGAGGATAAGAAAAACCACAAAGCTGAGTCTTTGTTGAGCGCTCTGCGTGTGCTGAGTGTATATGCTCTCATTGAATCTGCTCTGGGTAGGGACCGGTCATCCCCTTTGCTTGGATGAGGAAGCGGATGCCCAGAGAGGTAGAGTGACCCGCCCAAGGTCACACAGCTGGGAAGGAGTGGGAGCCCAGCCTGGAACTCGTGTTTGGCCCCTTCAGAACCCCATGTTTCATTCCTGTGTCTGATTCCCAACCACTTTGTGCCCACAGGCTCTTTAAGGGCCACCCCGAGACCCTGGAGAAGTTTGACAAGTTCAAGCACCTGAAGTCAGAGGATGAGATGAAGGGTTCTGAGGACCTGAAGAAGCATGGCAACACTGTGCTCACCGCCCTGGGTGGCATCCTCAAGAAGAAGGGGAAGCACGAGGCGGAGCTGAAGCCGCTGGCCCAGTCACACGCCACCAAGCACAAGATCCCCATCAAGTACCTGGAGGTGGGAAGTGGGGCCAGGGTGGGAGGGGGGGCCGGGGGGGGCGGGGGGGTGGAAGGACAGGCCTCAGAGGGATGCAATTTGGGTTCCAGTCCCAGCTCTGCCCACGGTATTCCTCTTTGTGATCCAGGGCCCTCATCTTTGAGATGAGCTGTCGCTTACTTTCCCTTCCTCACGGGGTCACTGAGAGTAAACCCACTTCTCCCCCAAATCAGTATGTCATCCAGGGGAAGAAGGGGAGAATGGGTATTGGGGGCACCCCTTGCATTCCCCTTCATAAGAAGGTACCATTATTATTGTATCCACTGGGCAGATGAGTAAACGGAGGCACAGGGAGGGCGATTGCTCGTCCCTGGCACACTCCCGGGATTCAAACTAGGGTTCTGTTCTTCCAGACCCCACCTCCACCTCCCAGCTCCTGAACCCTGTGCCACCCTGAGCCACAGTACAGTAGCAGGTGCTCCCTCCGGGTAGCCAGCAGGTGGCGCCATTGGTTCCAGCATCTTTACAGATGAAAAGAGAGAGCCCTGGGGTCCTAGGCAAGGGGAATTGGTTTGAATCTCTTGTGATGCGCTGAGAAGTAGGGTGGGCAGGGCCTGAGCTTCAGGTTCTGCCTTTATAACCAGTGGGGGGAGGGGTATGGTGAGAGGGAGCACTGAGATCTGGAGGATAAAGGGCCTTAGGGGTAGGTGCAACCCCTGGGAAAGGGAGCAGGGGGCAGGCTGGTGCAGTGACGAGGATAAAGACCATGGTCATGGCTACCCATAAGGATAGGCCACGGTAGGCAATCGTGGAATCACTGCATGGAATTCTCATTCCCTTCTGAGGTAAGGAACTGCATTCCGGGTCTTCTTTTTCTCTGACGCAAAGTAAGTGCAGAGGTAGGGAGTCCAGAGCTGGTGTGGGCACCCCACAGCCACCAGGGATACAAGCTCTTTCTGGGCTGCTCAAACTTGGCTCATGGTCCAAGATGGCTGCTAGAGCTCCAGCCATCTGATCCGTGTTCCAAACAGGAACGAGGAAGAGAGGAAAGCTCTCCTTTAAGGAGTCCCAGAAATCCCATTCAATAGTTTTATTGGCCCGAAGTTAGTTACAAGACCACACCCACCTGCATGGAAAGCGGGAATGGTGGTCTGTTGCTATTCCAACTACAGCTAGTGTTCTGTTACCAAGAAAGAAGGAGAAAATGGACATGGGGCAGGCCACTAGCAGTCTCCGTGCCAGGCAGGTACCCCTCTCATACCCACTTTACAGATCTGGAAACAAAGTCTCAGAGAAGTTAAGTAGCTTGCTCAGGGCCACACAGCTAATGAGCCAGTAGGCACGGTCTGATCTACCGGTACTTGGGAACTCAAGCTCTTAATCCCTTGTGGCACAATGTCGACCATCAACCATCACCACCTCTTCAGCCTCGCAGCCTCACCTCCCCGCACCCCAGCTGCCCCCGCAAATCATACAGAGAAAACCCAGCCTGCCCATCACGCTCAGCATCACAGACGTGAGGAGTGGGTCCCGCCTTCGAGACTCTGCATGCTGTGGCCTCTGCCCACCCCCATCTGCTCTTGGCAACAGACCCCTGTCCCCCCTCCAGGGCCCAGCTTAGAAGCCACCTTCTCTGCATGTGACTGTCAGTGGGCACCCCCTGTCTCTCCCCTGCAAAGCCACTTTATACTTATCCCTTGTCATGGCGCCCACCCGTCTGCACTGGGATTTATCTCTTTCCCCAGCTGTCTCCTGGGTGGAGCGCGAGCTCCCCATTTCTGAACCCCGGTGGCATGTGGTGGGCTCACAATACAACTTGTCTGCTCTCCCCTTGCACTCAGGGACATCCTTCCATGCTCTTCCTAGGGGGCGGCTGCTTCCCAGTGGGGTGTGACGGTGCCACAGTGGGTGCTGGATGTCAAGGCAACTTTTCTCAATTGTCCGGCTGCCCCAGCCCACACTTACCCGTCTATTAGCGGCTGTGCCCCAAACTCAGGAAAGGCTCAAAGGGGGGACCCGATGGGGCCAGCTGAGCCCCAGTTTTATGGTGAAGTCACCCATGGGGGTCACGACAGAGCAGAGCCTGGAACCTGGGTCTCCCCTGTTCTCCAGGGGGAGGATTGACTTCATGGCAGCCTGAACCCCAACTTTGTTTTGGGACATATGTCCAGGTCGATGTTCAAAGACAGGGGTTTGTGGAGCTGTCCTCGTTTCTTTCTTTCTTTTTTTCTTCTTTCTCTCTCTTTCCTATCTTTTTTGTTTTTGAGAGAGAGAGAGAGAGAGTGTGTGAGCGAGCATGGGGGAGGGGGAGAGGCAGGGGCAGAGGCAGAGGGAGAATCTGAAGCAGGCTCCATGGCCGGGGTGGAGCCCAGTGTGGGGTTTGATCTCATGACCCTGAGATCATGATCTGAGCCGAAACCAACCTTGGCTGCCCCCCTGTTGCTATTTCTAGGCAGAACCGTGTTCCCTGGGTGTTGCCCTATGTGTGCCTCCTAAATCCTCGGTCACCCTGTGCCCCCCAACCCAGCCACCTGTCTGTAGTCACCTGCACTTGGGGTGCCCTGAGAAGCTGGGAAAAGCCAACCGAGGTGCTGTCCCCACGTTTGTTCCTGGCTCTGGCAGCCGCTTGTCCACAAGCCCCTGGGTGCAAACTCCAGCTCTGCTGTCCACGTGCTATGTGACCTTAGGCTGGCTCTTCCCTGTGTGGGCCTCTGTAAAGTGACACCGCTTGGTCCTCCAGCCAGGGTGGTGGCTGGCATCAGATCTTGACTCCCTGTCCAGAGGCCCAGTAGCATTTTATACCCATGAGATCTTTCAGTCTCTAAAGAGCCGTGCTGTCGGTGTTCCTGGTAGTGATGCTGTGGGTGTCTAAGCACATGTGGGGATGGAGAGGCAAGGCTGGCATGGGGCAGGCTGGGTCCCAGCGGCAAGCCGCAGGCCTCGACCCTTCCTTGTCCTCCCTCCTTCTAGCCCACCAATAATTCTGAGCCCTTGCTCTGTGCTTGGCACCGAAATATGCTGGTCTACCCCCCGCCAACCAGCCCCCCCCCAAGTAGCCTACTTAAAGCAATAACCACACTAAGCCATCAAATGCAAAAAATTAAATACAAATGGAAATAGTTTCTTTATAGATTTTCTGACTGCAAAATCCTGGGCAAAGCCACGGGATGGGAGCATTTCCCTTCCTTTCTGCTGCCAGCAGGGAGGTGGTGTCCTGGGCTCCTGCACTGAGACGGGCCTGGTTCCTCATTGGCATCTATCTCGAGGGGTGGTAGGGAGAGAAGGAGTTAACCCGCAGAGACCCCTCTGGTGTGTAATACACACTCCATAGACGGCCGTGGAATAAAGAGAAGGTGGGACGCAGTCTGATTCCCATCTAGCTCCTAGACTGTGCGCCCCTGTGACCGGCGCCCCTCCTGTCTCCCCCTGCCCCTGCAGTTCATCTCAGAAGCCATCATCCAGGTGCTGCAGAGCAAGCATCCCAGGGACTTCGGCGCTGACGCCCAGGCGGCCATGAGGAAGGCTCTGGAACTGTTCCGGAATGACATCGCTGCCAAGTACAAGGAGCTGGGATTCCAGGGCTAGGTCCCTGGGCGCCCCACCCCACCCCCACCCCTTCGGGCCCTGGGGCCCAGGGCCGGGTGGGCGGTGATCTCCTGTAGCCGTGTAGTTTGCTTCTGAGTGTCTGCTTTGTTTATGAGAGGTGGGTGGGAGAGGCCGAGGGGCCGGGCTAGGCTGTTCTGGTGGCTTCGCAAGAGTGGGGCCTGGTCCTCGTGGAGGGGCATCACCCCGGGAACCAGGAGATGTGTGGCCCTTTGCTCACTTCATTTGCCTCTCTCCTAAACTCCAACCCCATTCCTCCAGCCTCCAAACTCAACCACACCTTCACCTTCACCTCTAATCCCAAATCCAAGCCATAAACCAAGGCCTGGCCATAAAGATGTTCTGACCCATCCCCCCCCCCCCCCCCCCCCCCCCCCAAATGTCCATCTGCAATGAGAAAGAGGTCTGGGCAGAGGGCGACCGTCCATCCCGAGAGAGAGGCGGCGGGGGTCTGGGATGTAAGTGTGCCTTCTCAGCGAATGGAGTGACTCACCTGGTTTTAATAAAAGACCTTGCAACATCACAGCCTCTCCCTAGTGATCTTCCTCTTCTGGAGCAAATGAAGGGGTCCCCAAGGAAGAAAATGGCCGGGAGGGTGTGTGCAGACAACATGTGCGGCAGAGAGGAGGAGAGGAGGGAAACAGGGCAGGAGGGAGAGAGAGACAGGACGCTGCCTTCCTTAGAGCACCCCTCAGTGGCGGGGACAGTGCTGGGTGCGGGGTGGGGGGGTCAGCCCTGTCTGGTGGTGGCGGTGGGCTGCTCAGCAGACCTTTGCAGTAAGAAGCAAACAGCTACAGGGTGCCCAAAGGAGAGGGCCCAGGGGGAGGTGGTCACCGTGGTTACAGCAACTTCAATAACACACCAAGGACACCGGCTAGTGAGTGGCAAAGCCGGGTTCAAAGCTGGGGAGGCAGCCGGGACTCCAGCTGGGGAGACAAAGAGGTGGCCAGCCGGTGCCGGGCACTGACCTTCTGGCCACAGAGAAAGGACAGACGCATGGGGAATAACTCACAAACACAGGCCAGGAGACACGATCCGTGTCTACATATGCTGCACACACAGACAGAATGTGTGATGTTGTGGCGGGGACCCAGAATAAAATGTTGGCACGTGACCATGGCGGCCAGGCTGCAGGTTGGAACTGAGGCCATGGACAGGGCCCGTGGAAAAGGTGGCCTGAGTCCCTCGGAGCATCCAAGCCGGGAGGGCCTCGAACAGCACCCAAGACTCAGGATACCAACTCTGGGAAGCCTCAAATCCCCAGCCTCATAAAGCTCCAGGAACTCCCAGGACAAGTGACCTAGTCACCCCTGCCCTTGAATCCTCGGGGCCCAACCCCCAGCCGTGAGCCTGACCTCAGACCAGGCCAAGGCAGCTGAACAGGGCGGGAGCTCCTCTGCTAGTGTAGACGAGTCCTAAATCCTAAAAGCTTCATCCATCGGGCTATGCAGCTGTAGCCACAAGAGCATGAGAGGGTCCTCCACCTCGGTCCGCCCCGGGCTTTGGGAGTTCTTCTGCTATCCGAGAGGGAGGGGAGGTTTTTGATTATGGCACCTGGGGAAAACTCCATTCATCTGTACTTATTTAGTCGGAAGCCCAGGCAGGGAGAACTTCTCTGTAGGTAAGTGTGCAGGATTTAAAGCTGAATGGGCTGGGCCTTGCCCTCAAGCAATTGACAATCTAGTCAGGGCACCCTGTGCTTGGATAATTAACTCCGGGCAGAAGAAAATGAGCGTAGCCGAGAAGGACCAGGCGTTCGTCATTCATTCTGCACGGCCTCTGACACATAGCTGCTGAGCACAGCCGGTGGGAAAATCTCAGTTTATACCTTGGACGTGCACAAAATGCAACTTCTTTTTTTTTTTTTTAATTTTTATTTTGATTTTGATTTGACAGAGAGAGACCCAGCAAGAGAGGGAGCACAAGCAGGGGGAGTGGGAGAGGGGGAAGCAGGCTCCCCACAGAACAGGAAGCCCCATGCGGGCTCCATCCCAGGACCCTGGTATCATGACCTGAGCGCAAGGCAGACAGTTAATGACTGAACCACCCAGACGCCCCTTCAACTTCTTTTTTTCTCTTTGGAATCTTCACTGTGGCTGCGAGGCAGACACTGATCTCAGCCTCCCTGAGGTTGCTCTCTGGTTCCGCATTTCCCTGGGGTTTTGGCTCATTCTAAGGGGGCTTACGCATGCGGGTGGCGTGTGTGGGCCGGCAGGTGGCAATCTGTTGCTGTCATCTGTTCCCAGTGGCCCTCAGGGATGCTGCACCCCACCTGGTCTTCCCTTAGAGTCCTCATCAGGCACTTGAGGAAACCCTGAGGCTGTCCGAAGCTCCTTCTACCCTGGCCACTTCTTCTTTGGGACATCCCTGCCCCATGAGGCCTTGACCTGGGACAGGAGGAGGCACAAGTCCCCTCTGAGTTTAGACCCCACGGGCCTGTCTGAGCTTTCCCAGCCTCCTCCAGGACTTGACAGGGGTGCGCAGGACTGCCCTGTGTGGTTGTATAGGTTGTGCACTCCACGAGAGCACCTGGTAGAGGGATCCAATTCAGGGGTGCATCCAGTCTGTGCCCCAGTGGCCAAGCTGTGCGCCTGGAAGGGGTGCCTTTTTCTAATTCGCACAAGGTTACCCTCCGAGCTAGCAGCGACCTCCAGCAAGGACACAAACTACTTTCTCTGGGGACCACCACCAACTGCCATCTGTTTCTTCCTCCTGACAGTTCAGAACATTACTTTCCAGCCCGAGAAGCAGGGACGCCTCACGATGTCCTCCAAATCTCTGCCCTTTCTGTGGGTTCTTTCTGGTCCTCTCAGGGCCTGAGCTTTTTGAATCCACAAAAGCACACGAGAGATGTGTTCTCACTGCTTTCGGCTGTCACGTCATTTTCTGAGGCTGGGGCTCAAAAGAGTCTTGCTGACTGAAAAGGAAAGAGCAAAAGAAGAAGAGAAATCCTGGGCAGGGGCCAGGGGGTGAGGGGAGTAGTGTTATATTTTACAAATGTAATCCCCCAACGGCATTTATCCTGTGTTGATTCAGTGACTGCTTTTGGAGCCAGTACTGGGGGCCAGGCTCCTGACTGGGACTAGTCTCCCAGGCGTGAGGAGGACTGGCATGGCCTCTGCTCTCACGTATCTTTAAGGACGGTGGGGTTGGGGGCTGGGGGGTGATATGCAGAGAAAGTGGGAGACAGAGTCAGAGTCAGGGAACCACGGTGCATTCATCTAAACTTTACTGAGGCCTGCATTGTGCCGGGCACCGGGCTTGGCTCTGGGTGGCCATGGTGAGGCCCACAGGCCTGGCCCCTGCCTTTGGGGAGTGCATGTAGAGCTCTGGGCACAGGGAGGCTGGCAAGGATGGATCCTGAGGCATCTGAGGAATTGGGGGCCCCCGTCGAGGCAGACCAGAGTCACAACGATGGCGGCCGATCCGTCAGTATTCTCCAGGAAACAAACCAAGAGGATTTATTTTCTTATATATAATATACTTTATAAATATGTATTTTATATATAATATAAACGTCTGAGATTTCATGTTTGAAGAGAGATTTTATATTTAAGACATGGATAACAAACTACGTAAAATATCAGGATAGAATATCTAATTCAAATGTTGCCTTTCCTACATTCATTATCTCCTTCTAGAATTCCTGGATTTTGTTGTTGTTGTTGTTAAGATTTATTTATTTGAGGGGCACCAGGAGGGCCCAGTCAGTTAAGCAACTGAGTCTTGATTTCACTTCAGGTCATGATCTCAGGGTCCTGAGATTGAGCCCAGCCTCAGGCTCAGAGCTCAGCGAGGAGTCGGCTAATGTTTCTATCTCCTTGTGCCCCTCCCCATGCTTGCTCTCTCTCTCTCTCTCTCTTTCTCTCAGATAAATAAATAAATAATTTAATTATTTATCTCCCTTTTTCTCTCAAATAAATAAATAAATCATTTGAATTAAATTTAAATTAAATTATTTATTTGAGAGAGAGAGAGCAAGCAAAAGGAAGGGCAGGTGGAGAGGGAGCACAGTCCCCGCTGAGAGTGTAGCCTGATGCCGGGCTCGATCCCAGGACCCCAAGATCATGACCTGAGCTGAAATCAAGAGTCAGCCGCTCAACTGACTGAGCCCCCCCAGGCGCCCCTAGCATTCCTGATTTTTAGATTGACTCACACTCTCCTCCATGACTCTTTCCTGTTTTCCACCTTTTTGCTATGCTGCCCTCTGAGTAAGGATCTCTTATTTCCTTGCTGAGTTCTACGTTTTTGAAGTTGTTCCAGTGTTTTTTATCCAGACTTACCAGCATCAGGAGAGCAGTGTGTTTTGCCCTACCTAGTCTGCTGTGCTTCCAGAAATGGAAATCCGTGTCAGAATTTATAATTAGGAATTTGGGTTGGTTTTTTTTTTTTTTAAGATTTTATTTATTTATTTGACAGACAGGAATCACAAGTAGGCAGAGAGGCAGGCAGAGAGAGAGGAAGGGAAGCAGGCTCCCCGATGAGCAGAGAGCCCGATGCGGGCCTCGATCCCAGGACTCTGAGATCATGACCTGAGCCGAAGGCAGAGGCTTTAACCCACTGAGCCAGGCACCCCAAGGAATTTGGGGTTTTTAAGTCCATTTTGTTTCCCTGGTTTGTTTTGTTTCTCCCATATCGGACACAGAGGGCAGGGGTCCTTTGCGTTTTGCTCACCTTTGCAACCCCGGCCGCCGGCCCCGTGCCCCGCTCCTTCCCAGCAGCTCAGTGAGTGCCAACTGGGGACCTGAGTTACATGGCTCTCTTTCTTTCACGGGCAGAAGAGCATGTGGTCTACTCTAGATCATTTTTAAAATAATTGATTCAGGAGGCCCCAGGGGAGCCTGGTTCCGAAAATCTGGTTGCTGAAGTTGAGTTTTGTGTATGTGTCTGTCTGTCTGTCCATCGCCGGGTGCACCACCTCTCCATGAGGACGCCTGGTGTGTGTGCATTTGCTTGTGTGAGTGTGACAGTGACCGCTCATTTGACTCCTCCCCTCCCTGCATTTCTGAAATCCGCAGGAGTCATGCCCCCAGGACCACCAGGGTGACCTTCGCTCAGGGACGCACAGGCTGGCTCTGCGGCCTCCGCCTACGACTGTGCTCTCTGGGAGCAGCTGGGCTGAGGAGGTGCAGGGTGAGAGAGCTACGGGGGGCCTGGGTCCCATCTGGAGAGCAGAAGCCATAAATTGTCAGGAGCCCTGTGCGTGACGACTCCTTTGAGCTTTCAGCAAATCTTTAGCTAAGCAAGCTAGAGGCACCAGGTGCCATCCCAGCAGATGCCGGCCGGGCAGACGTCATGGGGCGTGCCACA